AGACACATACTGTCATTTTTTAAGAGATTCAGGCCTTATATTGTGCACTGTTTGTGCACAGTGTCTGATATTTAGCTTGTAATAATTTTCTTAATGTTCTAAATAACATTACATGACTGTAGAACAATCATAGATGTTTAGAAACAGATTCCAACCAGATTTTACTGTCAGAACTTTCAGTTTTATACTAATTTGATTTGATTTCTGAATCAATCGTTTGAGCCTGCAAATCATAACCTGATTGGATAAAACAAGAGCTTTGGACTCGAGGATAAACCTTTTGAGTTTAGAGGATTAAAATAAAAAACATTGTGTGTTGAATTGGCATAAAACTCTACACAGGGAATAAATGTAAAATATCTGAAGAGAAACTGGTGGATAAAGAGCGAGCGACTGGTAGGAAAGACAGAAGCAGCACCTTTCTGAGTTTAGAGTAGTCGATGAGGTCTGGTCTGTGTCTGTGGATGAGGGCGCACAGAGCGAGGCCGTCCTTCCAGCTAACAACAACACAGACAACGTATTAGCTAACCTGACCATGCTGATGTATAAAGAAATTAAATAAATAAATAAATCATAAAAATGAGAACACTTTACAATAAGGTTCCATTTGTTAGCATTAGTTAAAATGAACTAACAATGGGAAATACTTCAAAAAGCATTTAATAATAATGGTTAATGCTGCTTTCAACATTTACTAATGCATTACTAAAATGAAAAGTTGTATCTGTTAATATTACTTAATACACCTGAGATGACAGTTGAACAGTTGTAATTGTATTAACCATGTTCATTTTAGATAATGCATTAACTAATGGGACCTTACTGTAAAAGTGTTACTATTGCACAAATCAACCAAATTAATCATAATTAAATTAATTAATTATGAATTAATCATTTAATAAATCAGTGTTAAGTATTTTTTGCATGTAAATTAATGCTTACAAGCTTTGAATAAAAATCTTGAATTTAAATAATTTTTGTACAATGTTATTAATTTAAATTAAACAAATTAAATACGGTTAAAAAAATTAATTAATGAAAAATTAATTGTTGTTAGTAAACGAATTTGGTCATTTCCAGTTTAGGTCTATTAATTGTTGTAAGTGATGACTTTCAAACTTTTTTTTTTTTTTTTCAAAATGTAACAAATGTCCAAAAATATATATTAGTACTGGTATAAATATTGACTGTTGATAGTTTTTGGCATCACAACTGAATATGCTAAAAGTACAATAAAGAATGTTTTTCAAACAAATGTGAGATTAATTGAATTGCAGACGTTTCTGACAGGGCAAAGATAGCATAAATTATAGAGATCTGGCTGAGAACTTATGTATATTATATTTGGTTAAAAAAAAGTTACATGTAATTAGGCTGTCAGTTTTAAATATTTACATTTAATCTAATTAAGGATGCATTCACTTCTCCAAAAGTGAAAGCAAATACATTTATAATGTTACAAAAGATTCTATTTCAAATAAATGCTGTCCTGAACGTTCTATTTGAACTTTGTGTTTGACTGTCAGTCGTCCTGTCATGACTCTCACCTGATGTGGAAGTTCTGTACGTTGACGTTCCTGTAGGGGGCCGTCTTCCTCTGACACCACAGCAGCAGACCCTCTTTAGCAGACGTCTCTGTGGAGTCACACAACAGAAAACCATTCACATGAAGCGATAATGAGTGTTTAATTAGTAACATGACCAGTCACGTCGTGTCGTCAATGTCTCTGACACAACACAGATGTGTGTTTGTACCCTCCACAGAAATGTCCTGGATAGCGAAACGGAGAATGATGGTCCAGATCATTCCCAGAGTCATTTTCAGATTGCCATCAACAATCTCTGCAGAGCAAGAGAGAGAATTTTGGACGAAGTTGGTTAATATTGTTACGGTTTACACATTTAGTTTATATTAGGCTGTCGATTTTAAACATTGAAATTTATTCGAATTAATTAAATGGTATAAAATAAAACAACCAAGATTAATCACATATACACTACTGTTTAACAGTTTAAGGTCAGTAAGACTCTTTTCAATTATGTTTTTCTTTTGAACTTTCTATTCACCAAAGAATCCTGCTTTGATCACAGGAATAAACAATTTAAAATGTATTCAAATATATTTAAAATATATTCACATATAAAATATGTATTTTAAATTGTAATAAGATCACAATATTACAGTTTTTACAGCATTGTTCATCAAATAAATGCAGCCTTGGAAGATTTCTTTGAAAAACATTTAAAAATCTTACCAACCCCAAACTTTGAAACGATAATGTATTTGCTGAGAAACTACAACAGAACAGTTCAACCCAAATATTCAGATGTGTGCAACACATTTTACGGAGGACTGTTTCATTAACCTGGGAGAGTAGACTACAATGCCGGCTGTGAACAAAGGCTGTTTCTATAAAGTGGGGCATTTACAACTTTGCAAGGACAGTCTGGCACTTCTGACTCACAGCCTGTAATTACGTTTTCATATTTAAAGGATTTGCCACTGATGATTCAAATGCGAGTTTTGAGCGGTGTAGAGTAGGGCTTGTTGTTTGTCATTTCTCTGATCACAACATGATTTTATGTTTACGTGGCGCAATATGCAATGCAACGCAACGCGTAAAAAGACAGTATAAATCATTATAATCCGTAATTATGTCCCCACTGGATGCAACGAATGCCTTGTTTATAATGGGTTTTCATGTTTTTGTCTCGTCGCTCCGGCCGGACAGGGCATCATCACAGTATGGTGAGGGGTGTAACATTTCCGTCACACGCTTGAGGTATTCGGCCAATCACAATGCACTGGATAGCTGGCCAATCAGAGCACACCTTGCTTTTCAGACCGATGAGCTTTGTAAAAATCGACGCGTTTCAGAAAGGCGGGGCATAGAGGAGAAACAATAATGTACAGTATGTGGAAAATAATGTGTTTTTTTAACCTTAAACCGCATAAACACATTTCATTACACCAAATACACAACATAATGTTCTTTAAGAGCAGCATCATATGACCCCTTTAAGAGATTACGTTATTAATATACCATTTGCTTTATTTCTCTTTCACTGAACATAATTTATTGCACTAAATTAACTACAAAACTGATAGCCATAGTTAGTATATAAAAGTCTCAATAGTGTACTAATAGTGTACTAATAGTGTAAGTTTCTCACCTTCAGCACCAATGGACACCAGTTTGACTCCTTTGCTAGAGATATAATCCAGAGCCTTGTTGACATTGGCGATCTTGTGGAAACGCATCTTTCCTTTGTCAGGCTTGGGCAGTCTCTCACCTGCCGATCAGTCAGACCAAACTGATGTCAGTTATTGAGGTAAACTGATCATTATTTTGACGGTGAAGTGTGCAACTCTAGTGGAATTGCACACATAATGACTGTTTCCAAACAGGTTTCCCAAACACCCCTATCGCACACCCTTTGGTGTAAATTTGACGTCAAAATAAACAGCTTAATATTTTTAAAAATGGATTCACAGGTTAGAAGACAGCATTTTAACATTTTCAAACATTGCACGCCTTATCTTTAAAGTCAACTTAAGTCAAATGATGCAACCCATTTTGATTGCAGTCGAAAGTCACTTCAAGTTATGAACATATTTTGTTTGCTTTGGAATAAGATGCACTGATGAATCACTCATAATAAGACCAAAAATGTGCATTAAGAAAGTAAAAAGAGTGCATTCTGATTTTACGTTCAGACAGCAGGTGATTTTAACTGCGGTGAAAGAATACTTGTTCTGAGTCTGACTAATGTATTGAAAACGAACCACAAATGTAGTACATGACTCGCCGTCTGTCCTCTGAGGATAAAATAAGCTTTACATGAGTCATGAGCTCCATTCACTGCTTCAGTCTCTAGTCACAAACTCCTTTTAAATATGACTGTACAAGACGACAGCTGAATTTGTGGCAGCATACAACTTCATACTTGTGGCATAAAATAACAGCAATTACAATGTTAAAATATCAGTCTCTGCATGTCCTTACGTTTGCTCCACTAGCTCAGTGCATCCTAACATATGAGTATAATAGAGTTGTGTCCTTCCCGTCGTTACCTGAGATGACCTCGAGCAGCAGCATGAGTTTGAGGCCATTCCTGAAATCCTCTTCAATGTTCTCGATCTGAGTTCCTGCTTTACGCAGATGAGAGTTGCACCATGCCGTGAATGTCTGAGAGACAAAAACAGATTATTAAATGAATGCTTATCCTCAATAACAAAAAATGAAAATGTCATTTTCAATGAATACAATATATATTTAAAATGCATGAACCAGTTCTGTGGTGAGAACTATATTAGGTACAGTATATTAATAAAGTATTATTTAACATGAGTCATGGAAACCAACATTTTCTCAGAATTGTGAGATATAAATTGTGAGTAAAAAAGTAAGAACTGTGAAATAAAAAGTAGCAATTACTAAAATGATGTAAAAAAGTCAGAATTGCAAGATATAAACTCAATGTAAACTTGAAATTGCAAGAAAAAAAGTCAGAATTCTGAGTATATCTCTCACAAATCTGACTTTTTTTCTCTTTTTTCTCAGAATTGAGAGATTTAAACTTGCAATTGCAAGAAAAACAAAAGTGCAATTCTGAGAAGAAAATTCCAAATTGTGAGATGAAAACTGGCAACTGCAAGAAAAAAAGTCAGAATTGTGAGATTAAAAAAAAGTCTCAATTAGCTTTTTTATTCCGTGTCGGAAACAAAAAATATACATATAAATAAATAGAATTGTGAAATATAAACTTAGAATTCAGTGGGAAAAGTCAGAATTACAAAATGTTTACATCTCGCAATTCTGTTTTTCATTTCCGTCATGGAATTAAAAAAAAAAAAGTGTAATGTAAAAAAAAAACAAAAAACATGTTTTAAATCTCTAATAATGCAAATGTGAGCAAAATCGTCTGTTCAGCCCAATTGCTTCAATTTGCAGATTACAGTGTGTTTCTGTAGGTTTGGAAAATTAATTACATTTCAGAGATATTATAAATATCCTTCACACTTCCAGCATGTGCGATGCCAAGAAGCAGTGTGTGAGTGTGTGCCAGTGATGTGGGTGTTACGGGGCAAAGCTGCTGGATGTGAACGAGTGTCTGTGTGTGTGTTTGTTTGTGCTGAGCGGCAGAATAAAGTATGAAAGAGGAGCAGGAGTGATGAACAACAGGACACGTAGGAGTTTCTAATGAGAGAGACACGGATGGAGAGGTTGAGAGAGGAAAGGAGCGAGGATGGAGGAGAGGAGGTGTGATTGAACACAGAGATGGAAGCCAAAGCAAGAGATGAGACAAAATGAGAAGAGAAATTAAAGTTTAGAGAACATAACAGATGAGAAAAGAGAAAGATGAGATGAAATGAGAAAAAAGGGTAATGAAACATACAAAAAGATGAGGTGAAAACAAGAGTAAACCTAATAAAAGCTGAGAAAGAAGAGAGATCATGAAGGTTGAGAAAAGAAGAGACGAGAAGAGACAAGAGAATGAGCATTGAGACTAAATGAGAAGAAAAGAGGAAAAAAGATGAGACAAGGAGACAAACAGAAGAGACGAGACAAATGAAATGAGGCCAAATGAGAAGAAAAGGGAGATGAGACAGATGTAAGAAATGATGACACGAGATAATGTAAAGTGAGAAAGAATGAGAGAAGAGACAAGAAGAGATCAGTGGAGACAAAAGAAGAGAATGAGAGAAGAGAAAAGGATGAGAAGTTAGAAAAGACAAAACAGAGGAGATGGACGGAAAGAGACACGACGGGGGAAATGGAAAGGTGGAAAAGAGGCAGAGCAGGAAGGCTGGAAGCAAGCTCTGATGGAGGAGGGGTGACGATGTCTAAATGTGGATGTCACAGGACACCCGAGACACAGCTGAGAGAGAGGGATTCCTGAGGAGCAAAGTAAGAGACACAACAGGAGCTACAGCTCCAACAGTCTTGGTCATCCCCTCATGAGCTTTCTGATACAACATACACACCTCACAAACAGCCATAACGTCCAAACACACATAAAAACCATCCCTAAAATGAGCCAAAACACAAAAGCGCTAATAAGCAGCCAATAATGTCACTCTGAGCCTTTAAATAACAGCCCTCAGTGAGTGCACGCAGCTGCCACTTCCACTCCGTTAAGTAAATTCATTTCCCAGCGTCCACCTGTTACCAGCATGAGTGTGTGTGTGTGTGTGGACGCTGGGAAATGA